TGGGATAAATCCGGACTAGCTGAACATAGCGGACAATGAGGAATACTGAGAATTCAAGAACAATCACAGTGTGTTTTTGATCCTACGGCACGTACTGGCTTTGTGGGAGCCTAGGCAGTTTGGATGCTCACCTTACGAGACCTGGATAGAGGTGGGCAGTCCTTGGGCTTCCCACATGTCAGGGAACCCTGATTGCTCTTCGAGCAGATGAGGGAGTGGGACTTGATCGGGGGAGGGGGAGGGAAATAGGAAGCGGTTGCGGGGACGAGGCAGAAATCCTTAATAAATAAATAAATTAAAAAAAAACTCCAATGATAGCCTTTGCTGGAGAGGCTGTGGAGGAAGGGGTACCCTCATCCATTGCTGGTGGGAATTCAATCTTGTGCAACCACTTTGGAAATCGGTGTTTCGGTTTCTCAGGAAATTCAGGACCAACCTACCCCTGGATCCAGCAATACCACTCCTGGGAATATTCCCAAGAGATGGCCTATCATATGACAAGAGCATTTGTTCAACCATGTTCATAGCAGTATTATTTGAAATAGCCAGAACCTGGAAACAACCTAGATGCCCTTCAATGGAGGAATGGATGAAGAAAGTGTGGAATATCTACACATTAGAGTACTACGCTGCGATAAAAAAAACAATGACTTCTCAAATTTTGCATGCAAATGGATGGAAATAGAAAACACTATCCTGAGTGAAGTAACCCAGACCCAAAAAGATGAATATGGGATGTACTCACTCATAATTGGTTTCTAGCCATAAACAAGGGTCATGGAGTCTACAATTGGTGATCCCAAAGAAGCTAAGTAAGAAGGTGAACCAAAGGAAAAACATATAGTTGTCCTCTTGGCTATGGGAAGTAGACAAAATTGCCGGGGAGAAAATTGAGATCTTGGGGGTGGGGTGGGATGGGGGTAAGGGGAGATGGGGAGAGAAAAGGGAGAAGGGGAGAATGGGGGGAACTTGGGGAAAAAGGAGGATTGGGATAAAGGAAGGTTAGATAGGGGAGCACGGAAGCACAATTCTTAGTTCAGGGAGCCACCTTAGAGTTGGCAAGAGACTTGAACCTAGAGTGGCTCCCAGATGCCCAAGGCGATGTCCCCAGTTAGTTCCTTGGGCAGCTGAGGATAGGGAACCTGAAATGACCCTATCCTATAGCAATACTGACGAATATCTTGCATATCACCGTTGAACCTTCATCTGGTGATGGATGGAGATAGAGACAGAGACCCACACTGGAGCACTGGACTGAGCTCCCAAGGTCCCAATGAGGATCAGAAGGAGGGAGAACATGAACAAAGAAGTCGGGACCACGAGCGGTGCACCCACCCACTGAGACAGTGGAGCTAATCTATTGGGACCTCACCAAGGCCAGCTGGACTGTGACTGAAAAGCATGGGATAAAACTGGACTCTCTGAGCATGAGGGCTGCTGAGAAGCCAAGGACAATGGCATGGGGTTTTGAACCTAAGTAATGTGCTGGCTTTGTGGGAGCCTAGCCAGTTTGGATGTTCACCTTCCTAGGAATGGACGGAGACAGGAGGACCTAGGACTTACCACAGGGCAGGGAACCCTGACTGCTCTTTGGACTGGAGAGTTAGGGGGAGAGGAGTGGGGGGAGGGGGAGAAGGGTGGGAGGAGGGGGTGTAGGGGGGAAGGAGGGTGAGGGAAATGGGAGGCTGGGAGGAGGTGGAAACTTGTTTTTTTTCTCCTTTTCTCAATAAAAAAAAGAAATCGGTGTGTGTGTGTGTGTGTGTGTGTGTGTGTGTGTGTGTGTGTGTGTGTTGGGTATACATATGTACATCAAATACCCTGGTGAAGAATGCATGTCCCAAAGACATTATTCAAGGTGAGAAAAAATGTAACCCACCTGCCCATTCCTCTAAGAAGGAATGTATGAATGTGCTGTCATAGATGCTACAGGCTATCAGGCAGCATTTAAAGTCAACTGATATATAAATAGCAACATGAGTGGATTTTAAAATCATACTACTAGGAGGAAAAAGGTGTGTGCATGTGTGTGTGTGTGTGTGTGTGTGTGTGCATGTATGTGCATGTATGATCTACGTGAATTACAGATATAATAAAATGCCACAGACCTTTGTAGGGGCACTTGATATAAAATATGTATCTTTTGCATCATGGATCACTTGTTTATGAAGACAGGGAAATGGGAGCAAGTTCTCAAAAGAGAAGGAAGGAGGGAAGAGGCTTGGTTTAGGTTTCAAGTGTTCTTCAGGGGTCCACAAGCTAATCTGTGGTGATTGTGAGGTGGTGACTCTCTGGCTGTTGTTGTTCTCTCTCTTCCTCTCCCTACTTTCTCTCTCCTTCTCCTTTTTTCTCCCCTCCCTCTTGCTTTCCTTCCCTCTTCCCCCCCAATGGTCTCCTCACTCACTCAGTCTCTTTACTCCCTCCCTTCCCCTCCCTCTCCTCTTCCTCTCTCTTCCCTTCCTCTCTCTCCCTCTCCTTTTTCCCCTTTCTTCTTTCTTTCCACATTCATCTCTCCCCATCCCTCCCTCGATTTCCATATTATTTTCTGCCCTCCTTCTCCCTTTCCCCCTCTTTTTCCATTCCTCAATCTTCTTCGTTCCCCCCTTTCTCCTTCCTTTCTCTTTATCCCCTCCTCATCTCCCTCCTTTTCTTTTCTCCCTTTCCTCTTCCTCTCCACATTCTTCTCTCCTCTTCCTTCCCCTCTCCCCTTTATCCTCCCTCTCTATCCCCTCCCCCTCTCCTCTTCTCTGGCTTCTATGAAGTAAGCAGCTTTTCTCTGCCCCACTCTCATCATCATGGTGCTGATTTGTCAAAACCCCAAAAGAACTAGATCCAGCCAAGCGTGAACCGCAGTCTCTGAAAATGGGAGCCCAAATAAACTTTTCTTTTTTTTAGAAGCTGTTTTCTTCAGGCATTTGGTCACAGAAACAGTAAGATAACCAGCACAAAAGGTTTTCAACGACTCAGTAGAGTATTGTGGAAAGGCAATTAATCTAAAACTCATAAAGGAGAAAAGCTGTGGGAAAAAGAATAAAATATTGCAGAAAATGGACTTTCTAGTAAAGATTTCCGTGGACATCAAGTAGTCTCAATTATATAAAGGTATATCTAATAGTCTATCTATATTATAAACTACAGATAAATTTTGGATCATTTAACAATAGCTGGTTAGATAGATGTTTGGTGTTAGAGCTAGTCTAGTCTGCCCCACTGATGATGAATTGGCTTGTCTATCTTTTCATTACAAAACGGCTTTGAGTCAGCATTACTTCACCTCATCAACATTAGGTGTAGAATCCATGCTAGAAAATTCGAGCCCATTCATTAGATTCCTTGGTCTCAGAAGAATATTTTAACTCCGGCTGACCAGATTCAATCCTGGATTAATTTACAACAGTGAAATCAATTCATGCTTGACTTCTCATATGTAAAGTAAAACATAGTCATTGCTGTCATTTTTTTATTATTGAAATGGAGGAGAGGAATTACTGAGGCAGACAATTAAATTCCGTTTCAGAGATGTCTCCTGAACTAAATGAAGTTCTCATTCATCATTGAACTTTCCTCCTTGACTGAGGCCATGATACTTCTAGGAAAAGGTTCGTTTTCTTCTATGAACCTGTGGTAAGGCAGATGGCAGGAAATCGCTCATTAATGTCATGTAATTTAAAGAATTATACAATTTCAGCAGCACTTTATTGAGATCAAATAGGGAATAGTCTTATCACTGAGACTCTTAATAAGATCATGAACTGCCTTTTTGTTTCTTCTTTTGTGTTGGCCCTGGAATCCAGAGAGCCTTAAACATGCTAGAAATGAATTCATCTGAGATATACTTACCACACCAAATGATGTTTTTTTTTTAAATCTTAGTTTTAAATAATTTTTCTCTCCTTTACCTCCTGTTACTTATTTCTCTTCCTCACTTTTGCCTCTCCTATATATTCTGCTTCACTCCATTTATATTTTATTAGTATGAGTATAATTTCAATTTATTCTTTTTCTCTCATCCCTTTAGTCAAAGAATTCTGTGTTTTCCTTTTAAGAAGAGTCACATATACCTTTAAAAAGATTTATATATGTATATGGGTGTTTTGCTTAAATGCATACCCATGCACCATGTATATTTCTGGTGCCCACAGAAGCCAGAGCAGAGGTTTTGGATTCCCTGTGGCTGGAATTATGGATGGTTTTAAGTCAACATATGGGATTTGGGAATCAAACCTTGGTCCTTTGCAAGAGCATCAACTGCTCTTAACTATTGAGCCTTCGCAGTAGTTCCAGCCATATATTTTTAAAGTTTATTAGTGTTATTCTTTTTTGATGAATTTCAATTCCATATCTCACTACATTAGCTAAGGAAAATTTATTGAAACACAAATAGGTATTGAGATATAAGTGCCCTGAAAGATAGCTTCTGAGGCAAGATAAAGTGGAAAATCCTAGAAGAATTAATCTGATAATGCCTTCTCCCTTTTTAATTTTCTCACATTAATTTCAAACAGAGATTACTTAAGGAATTCCATTTACAGATTTAGATGGTCCACAGAACAAGGCATATTTATGGACTAAGAATCAAATGGTGGGGTTGGTGATAGTGTTTGTGCAGCTGGATGGTGGGACTACGGTTGTCTAATCAAGAAGAGCTGAGTATAAAAGCCAGCCCCAGTGTCTCTGTCACTGCACTCTACCCCAGATTACCCACCTGACTTCTTTTATGTGCTTCTTCTGGTGATCAGAGTCTCACTAATGCTACGTAAGTTCTCTACTGCCGAGCAACATTCTCAGCCTTACTCTCTTCATGTGGAGTAATTTATTTATCTTCAGTGATAGGAAGAGCTGTTTAGTGCCAAATAGTTTTACAAAAATGTACTGACCTACCACTAACCACAGGTTAGAGATGACATTACTGATGCTTAATTCTTTCTAAGTAATTTGAACAGGATATATCACAGAAGTTAGTAGCTTCTGTTCACCGAAGGAGAAATGATAGACTCACCATTTTAATCTTCTGTTTGTCTTGCTCTGTAGGTCCACTCAGTTACTGTGCATGCCATGAACATCTCCAAGACAGTGAACAGGAAGAGATATCCTGTAAGCATCCTACCACTTCTCTGTACCCCAAAAGAAAAATACAGTCTTTCCTTAATATTTTTTTGAGAATTTTTATATAGATATACAATGAAATACAATATTATCTACTCCCAATTTTCCCTCCAACTCATGGTTCAACCCCCAGTTTCCCCTCACAATTTCATGTCTTTTTTTATAGCCCATATATGCATATGTGTAGAGCCATCTAGTGGACTAGTGGCCAAATCCTTACAGAAGTATGATTCTTCCCACAGCAATTATCTGCTTCCAATAGCTCTTAGAAAGGGCTGGGGTCTGCTGTTCATCTACCATGTCTATGCCAGAATTTTAGCTGGCTTGATCTTGTAGAGATTTTGTACAAGTAAGCAGATTTTGTGCTGTGAGTTTTCTATGATGATAGCCATATCATTCCCAGAAGATGGCACTGCAGCATTCCCAGCCATCCTTCAGCTCTCAAATTCTAATTCTTCTGCAATGTTTCTTGTGCCTCAGTGCTGTTGAGATGTTAAACCTAACAGTTATGGACCTCTTATTCAAACACTAAATATACATTCTTTTTCTAAGCAGCCTATAGAACTTTATCCAAAATCTATCACATATTAAGACACAAAACAAGTTTCAACAAACATAAGAAAATTGAAATTCAATTCTGAGTTCTATCTGACCACAAAGGGATAAAACTAGGTATCAACAGAAAACAAAACACTACAGGAAGAGCTATGCCTTTAATCCCAACACTTGGGAGGTAGAGGTTGTTGAATCTCTGTGAGTTCGAGGCCAGCCTGATCTACAGAGCAAGTTCCAGGACAGACTCCAAAGCTACACAGATACCCTATATTGAAAAACCAATCAAAACCAAGCCAAAATAAAAAACCAAAAATCCCAAAAAAAAAAAAACCTATTAGAAGTATATCAACTCATGGAGCTTAAACTGCATATTGTTGAATAATTGTGTTACTGAAGAGACCAAGAAGGAAGTAAAAACCATTCCTAGAACTGACTGAAAATAAAATATGACAGACGAAAATCAATGGGCCATGCTGATGACAACCTGAAAGGAAGGTTTAGAGCACTTGGTGCCTACATCAAAAAGGCATTTCAAGTTAACAATTCAATAATTCACCTTGAAGCCTTGGAAGAAGCAAGAACACAGCACATTCCAAACCAATGGGTAGGAATAACCAAAATCAGGAAACAAGGAAATAAAATTAAAGAAAAACAAATAGACAAAAACCAATACAAAGAACAAATATAATGGATTATTGGTTCTTGAAAATAAAATGATTGATAAACTTGTAGTTGAATTATGCAAGGGAAAGATAGAGAATATGTAATAAATCAGAAATAAAAAGAGAGACATTATAACACTTTCCAACAAAATTTGGAATCCAGAAAGACATGTTGTAAGAACCTATATTTCACAAGCTTACAATACCTCAAGTAATGGAGGAATGTCTAGACACATTCAATATATCAAAATTAAACCATAATGAATGAAAGAGTTGAAATATCTCCAGAAACGAGACTACAGAGGGAATAAAATATCTCCTAAGAAACACCCATGGATTAACCATAGCATTCTCCCAGAACTTGAAAGAAGAATTAACAACAGAACTCAATAGTAATTTCATGAAATAGCAAAGGAGGAAGGTTCCCATGCTTGTCATCTTTTATTGTCAGCTAAATACAACCTCCAGATATCTGCTAAGGGAAGTCATGACTCTGAGGAATTGTTTTGGTTGATGACTGATGTGGCAGGGTCCAAACCACTGTGGATCTCATCATCCCCAGGCAGGGGAGTGTAGGTTGAATAAGAAAGCTAACACGGAGCAAGACAGAGAGTCCGAGAGTGAGTCGGTAAGCAATGTCCCCAACAGTTTTATAGTGCCAGTTCCTGCTTGAGCTTCATCCCTGATGGCTTTCAGGGATGGACTGTGACCTGAAAGTGTGGGCTGAAATCAACTTTGTCCTCTCGTAAGTTGATTTTGGTTAGTGTCTTATTACAGCAGCAGAAAGCAAACTAGAATGCTTCCTAAATTCTACTTTTCAATGTTATAAAACTCACAGAGGTAGGTTGATCCCGAATTTCCTAAGAAACTGAAACACTGACTTCCATAGTGGTTGCACAAGATTGCATTCCCACCAGCAATGGATGAGGGTACCCCTTCCTAAATTCGGGATCAACCTACCCCTGGACCCAGCAATACCACTCTTGGGAATATACCCAAGAAATGCCCTATCATATGACAAAAGCATTTGTTCAACTATGTTCATAGCAGTATTATTTGTAATAGCCAGAACCTGGAAACAACCTAGATGCCCTTCAATGGAAGAATGGATGAAGAAAGTATGGAATATCTACACATTAGAGTACTACTCAGCGGTAAAAAACAATGACTTCTTGAATTTTGCATGCAAATGGATGGAAATAGAAAACACTATCCTGAGTGAGGTAAGCCAGACCCAAAAAGATGAACATGGGATGTACTCACTCATAATTGGTTTCTAGCCATAAATAAGGGTCACGGAGTCTACAATAGGTGAATGTAAAGAAGCTAAGTAAGAAGGGGAACCCAAGGAAAAACATATAGTTATCCTCTTGGCTAAGGGAAGTAGACAAAATTGCCGGGGAGAAAATTGGGATCTTGGGGTGGGGTGGGTTGGGGGTAAGGGGAGATGGGGAGAGAAAAGTTAGAAGGGAAGGAGGTCGGGCCTTGGGAAAGCAGGAGGATTGGGATAAAGGAAGGTTGGACAGGGGAGCACGGAACCACAATTCTTAGTTAAGGGAACCACTTTAGGGTTGGCAAGAGACCTGACCCTAGAGGGGCTCCCAGGTGCCCAAGCTGAGGTCACCAGTTAGTTCCTTGGACAGTTGAGAATAGGGAACCTGAAATGACCCTATCCTTGAGCAATACATAGAATATCTTGCATATCATCATAGAACCTTCATCTGGTGATGGATGGAGATAGAGACAGAGACCCACACTGGAGCACTGGACTGAGCTCCCAAAGTCCCAATGAGGAGCAGAAGGAGGGAGAAAATGAGCAAAGAAGTCGGGACCACGAGGGATGCACCCACCCACTGAGACAGTGGAGCTGATCTATTGAGAGCTCACCAAGACCAGCTGGACTGTGACTGAAAAAGCATGGGATAAAACTGGACTCTCTGAACATGGTGAACTATGAGGGCTGATGAGACGCAAAGGACAATGGCACGGGGGTTTGATCCTACATAATGTGATGGCTTTGTGGGAGCCCAGCCAGTTTGGATGTTCACCTTCCTAGATATGGACGGAGGTGGGAGGTCCTAGGTCTTACCACAGGGCAGAAAACCCTGACTGCTCTTTGGACTGGAGAGGGAGGGGGAAAGGAGTGGGGGGGAGGGGGAGAAGGGTGGGAGGAGGGGGTGTAGGGGGGGAGGAGGGGGAGGGAAATGGGAGGCTGGGAGGAGGTGGAAACTTGTTTTTTTTTTTCTCCTTTTCTCAATAAAAAAAAAACTCACAGAGGTATAGCTATGTTGTAGGAAGGAGAAAAACATGAGAAGATAACCAGTTTCCTGTATCCCATTTCCTCAATAGTTGAAAATTTATGCATATATTTGATTATATGATAATTGATAGCTATTGAGGATGGTGAATTGATACATTTCTGCCAAGAGAATAATGGGAATCATTGTATATTCTTTTTGTTGTTGTGGGTAGAACAAGTATATTTTCTTAAGGATAATGAGCCTCTGGAGAAGATAAAATTGAGATACATTTTTTTGAGATGTAATAGGACTTATTTAAAGAGGAAGTATATATAAGTACACTTTCCCTATCATTTAGTAAATGATGCTAAAGGGGAAATGCATTCCTTACATAAATAAAGTTATCATCTCTTGTGTCACTGACTTGTTTTGGTTAAAACTCTATTTACTGTGGTGAGTGACTTGGAATTTCGCTTTGATCAGCATAAGTGCTCTTCAGGTGTCTAGACCCATGACCTTAATCAAATAGCTAAACATTCATTCTTTATTGCATCAGAGTTACATAGGCTTTTATCTATATCTGTATTTATTTATTGTAAAGTTTCTTTAAACAATACATAGAAATAAGAAAAATGGAATGATAAATTACAAACATATATATAGTTTGGAACTAGTCTATTAACCATAACTCTTGTATGTTGAAGTAAGGAGCACTTTCTTAATTTGGTTGGGAAGTTAGATACAAGTAACATCTAATGGCATCAATTGAAAAGTTATGGTTTCTAGGTATTGGTTTAGAGCCCAGCTGTTTTGGTTCCTTTTGTTAATTTCTGGGCATAGACTAGAAGGATAGTAGTCCACAGACAAGATTCAACACCATGGCTTCAAATTCTTACAAAATTTCCTCAGAATCTCTTCCTTCTTTCTCTGTTTTCATCATCCTTTCTCTTCTCACCAACAAGCCTAAATGGCTAAGTGTGCCTATGTTCATAGTGCCACCTGCACAGGACCACAGGTACACAAACATAAACAGCCTAAAATAGTTCTGCATGGACCCTCTAGCAGATGCAGAAACACACAATGTCCTCATGGCATAGTGCACATAGAGCAGAGTATATGAGCCTTCCAAATTACATCCATTGTCGAGATAAGCTTCAGTCTGTAGACGGCAACACTTTCTTATTTTTAAAATTAATTTATTTTATACCCTGATCACATTTCCCCTCTCTCTTATCTTCCTATTCTCTTCACCAAATCTCCCTACCACTCAGTCTACCTCTCTTCTGTTTTTGTTCAGAAAGGGACAGGCCTCCCATGACATATCAAGTTGCTGTAATGCAAGGCACCTCCACTTGTATTTAGGTTGGGCAAGGCAATCCAGGATGAGGAATAGGTTTCCAAGAGCCAGCCAAAGCATTAGGGACAGCTCTTGCTCCCAATGTTAGGAGTACCACAAATAGACCAAGCTACACAACTGTCATATGTATGGAAAGGGTGTAGATTTGTTCCATGCAGACATCCTGTTTGTTGGTTTAGACTCTGTGTGTTCCTATGAGACTGGTTAGTTGTTTCTGTGGGTTTTCTTGTGATGCCCTTGACTCACTGGCTCCTACAATCCTTCCTCCCTCTCTTCAGCAGGATTTCCCAAACTTGGTCTAATGCTTGGTTGTGGATCTTTGAATCTGTTTTCATCAGTTCCTGGATGAAGTCTCTCAACTACAGCATGTTCATTGACCATGAACATATGGGTAATATAAGTCCATATGGATGTCATTTCATTCTTGGAAGAAGAAAGTCTTACTCTAGCAAATTTGATCTTTTAAACCCTAGGAAAAACTTGTCTTAAGGTACATAGGAAGAACAAGCTGCCACTCATAAATGTCTCATAGCAACCAGGAAGAATCAGGATTGACTATAATGCTTCATCTATAAAATATCTGTATTAATATTTGTGAGATTTTATTTGATCATGCAGGCTTTGAACTGTAACATGTAGCTTATATCACACTAATAATAGGCACATTTGCCTGAGAGTAAACTTATGAGAGGACTTCTGGTAATTTGATTGATATTTGACTATTTTGATCCTCACTGAAGGCTTAATTCTAAAATTATGAAGACATTCTCTTAGAAACCCAGTACTTACGTATTCCCACCAAGAAGACTTTAATGCTGAAGTGACTGTCAGTTCAAATGTTATTAAAACCACACCTATTAGTGTTGCGTAGATGCTTGAGATATTCATTGTCATAGTCCAGAACAGCTAGAACAGATTAAAAAGTATTGTCCAGTCATTGAAAGCTATTCCATAGTCCTCTCTGCAAGTGTGTTCTTACAGAAGTGTAGAAATTCTAATCTTTCTGGCATAGTGAGAGCACCAAAAAGGTTGTTAGAACTATAGATTGGTTAGGCTCCTAGTAGGACCAAACAATTTGGGGGATAATAAAACTTTTGATTAGATGTGCAGGTACTTATTCTCTACTGATAACGGACTCAATGTTTATTCTCTGCTGAGTTAGTGGATAAAGGGACAGAAAAAAGTGCATTAGATATTTTTTCAAACTATAAAAGAAAATCAAGTGCATATTAATTGTAAATCGAATATAAAATATACCCATGATATTGACAAATTCACAATACTGCACGGCTTTACATTGCCAGAGAGCTAATACTCTAGGAGATTTCTATCGTTCTTGGACATCAGGAAAGCAAAATTTGGGGAATTTTCTTGGGCATACAGGTTCTATCTAGCTCAATGTGAAGAGATTTTCTTGATGATGTACAGAGTTACACATGGTTGGAGGTCATCACCCAGGCGGCATGTATGCATGTTTGTCAACCTACATACTTCAGACTATTCATGCTTTATAATGTTGCTGAATAATTGTGTTTTATCTACATATGCCAGGAGATATATTATTTAATATTGCTATTAAGAAGAATAACTATTATACCTATTTCCTTGTCCATACTCACAATAATTTCTTCCTAGTTAATAAAGCTAGATAGCAAGCATGACAATTTGAATCACTAGATCCTGAAACCTATCTCAAAGAACAGAACCCTTCATGTAAACTGTTATATGTTGTTCATTGATGTCAGTTCATTTATTCTCTAGGGAAAAGTCTCCTTTGCAGAAAGCAAACCAGTGAAGTCTATGAAGAATTTTACCTCAAACTTCCCAGGAAGCTGACTCCCTAAAGGCTAGCTTTCAGAGTACTGAACGGTGTTACACACTGTGTAGTAATGGAGCAAAGATATCAGTGGGCTTACTTAGCGCTGGGCATTGCATGCTATAATACCTACCTGCCAGGCACGTTATGCTCACTGGTGCAACGGTGGCATGACTAGTGTGGGAGGAGCCAACTGCTTTCTGATTGGTTTTGAGGCCTATTCCACACGATGGATTCCACATTTGGTACTGTAAACATCATCATATCTGGAGATATCACAGGCCATAGAGGGAACCTACTGATTTTCTCTTATTAAATGTTTATGTTGTCAAGCTGCCTTCTAAATATTCATGGTTATGTCCATAGCTTAGTGCTGACTTCACTCTTGGTCAGAGAGTTTTTTTTTTTTTATTGAGAAAAAAAATTTCTGCCTCCTCCCAGCCTCTCACTCCTCCCCCTCCCCCCACTCCTCTCCCCCTCCCCCCACTCCTCTACCCCTTCCCCCACTCCTCTACCCCTCCCTCTCCAGTCTGAAGAGCAGTCAGGGTTCCCTGCCCTGTGGAAAGTCCAAAGTCCTCCCCGCTCCATCCTGGTCTAGGAAGGAGAACATCCAAACTGGCTAGGCTCCCACAAAGCCAGGACATGGAGTAGGATCAAAACCCAGTGCCATTGTCCTTGGCTTCTCAGCAGCCCTCATTGTCTGCCATATTTAGAGAGTCCGGTTTTATCCCATGCTTTTTCAGTCACATTCCAGCTGGCCTTGGTGAGCTCCAATAGATCAGCCCCACTGTCTCCGTGGGTGGGTGCACCCCTTGTGGTCCTGACTTCTTTGCTCATGTTCTCCCTCCTTCTGCTCCTCATTGGGACTTTGGGAGCTCAGTCCAGTGCTCCAGTGTGGGTCTCTGTCTCTATCTCCATCCATCACCAGATGAAGGTTCTATGGTGATATGCAAAATATTCATCAGTATGGCTATAGGATAGGATCATTTCAGGTTCCCTATCCTCAGCTGCCCCAGGAACTAACTGGGGACCTCGGCTTGGGCACCTGGAAGCCCCTCTAGGTCCAAGTCTCTTGCCAACCCTAAGATGGCTCCCTTAATTAAGATATATACTTCCCTGCTCCCCTATCCAACCTTCCTTTATCCCAATCATCCCATTGCCCTATGTTCTTCCCATCCTACCCTTCTCACTTTTCTCTCCCCATCTCTCCTTACCCCCCTCCCACCCCACCCTTAAGATCCCGATTTTTGCCTGGCAATCTTGTCTACCCCCTATACCCAGGAGGGTAGCTATATGTTTATCTTTGGGTTCACCTTCTTATCTAGCTTCTTTAGGGTAACAAATTATAGACTCACTGGCCTTTATTTATGGCTAGAACCCAATTATGAGTGAGTGTATCCCTTGTTCATCTTTTTGGGTCTGGGTTACCTCACTCAGGATACTATTTTCTATTTCCATCCATTTGCATGCAAAATTTGAGAAGTCATTGTTTTTTACCGTTGAGTAGTACTCTAATGTGTATATATTCCACACTTTCTTCATCCATTCTTCCATTGAAGGGCATCTAGGTTGTTTCCAGGTTCCGGCTATTACAAATAATGCTGCTATGAACATAGTTGAACAAATGCCCTTGTCATATGATAGGGCATCTCTTGGGTATATTCCCAAGAGTGGTATTGCTGGGTCCAGGGGTAGGTCGATCCCGAATTTCCTGAGAAACCGAAACACTGCTTTCCAAAGTGGTTGCACAAGTTTGCATTCCCACCAGCAATGGATGAGTGTACCCCTTCCTCCACAACCTCTCCAGCAGAGGCTATTATTGGTGTTTTTGATTTTAGCCAATCTGACAGGTGTAAAATGATATCTCAAGGTTGTTTTGATTTGCATTTCCCTGATCGCTAAGGAGGTTGAGCATGACCTTAAGTGTCTTTTGGCCATTTGAACTTCTTCTGTTGCGAATTCTCTGTTCAGATCAGTGTCCCATTTTTTAATTGGGTTAATTAGCATTTTAAAGTCTAGTTTCCTGAGTTCTTTATATATTTTGGAGATCAGACCTTTGTCTGTTGCGGGGTTGGTGAAGATCTTCTCCCAGTCAGTGGGTTGCCTTTTTGTCTTAGTGACAGTGTCCTTTGCTTTACAGAAGCTTCTCAGTTTCAGTAGGTCCCATGTATTCAATGTTGCCCTTAATGTCTGTGCTGCTGGGGTTATACCTAGGAAGCGATCGCCTGTGCCCATCTGTTGTAGGGTACCTCCCAATTTTTCTTCTATAAGGTTCAGTGTGTTCAGACTGATATTGAAGTCTTTGATCCATTTGGACTTGAGTTTTGTGCATGGTGATAGATATGGGTCTCTTTTCATTCTTCTACAGGTTGACATCCAGTTGTGCCAGCACTATTTGTTGAAGATGCTTTCTTTCTTCCATTGTATACTTTTAGCTCCTTTATCGAAAATGAGGTGTTCATATGTTTTTGGGTTAAAGTCTGGGTCTTCTATATGATTCCATTGGTTGAGTTCTCTGTTTTTATACCAATACCAAGCTGTTTTCAATACTGTAGCTCTGTAGGAGAGTTTGAAGTTAGGGATGGTAATGCCTCCAGAAGTTCCTTTATTATATAAGACTGTTTTGGCTATCCTGGGTTTTTTGTTTTTCCATATAAAGTTGATTATTGTCCTCAGAGAGTTTTTTTTTTGTACTGGGTCATAGATAATGCAGAGGCTCATAACTGGTGAAGATATTGAGATAAATGTTTGTGAGCGCTCAGTCGTAGATGAGTTATCTCTGTGAACCTCTTCCTTCCTAGGGCACTTAGGGAACATATTGTAAAAGGGAGAAGAAAGAATATAGGAGCTACCGGATTAGGAGAAAGAGAAATGCTATCGTCTAGATATGACACGGTTGTTGCTTTTACCAACTTAGAGCAGCTATGGTTGCCTGTATAAGAACTACACAAGAAAAAGCCAGCCAGAATTCTCAAGTTGGGAGAAGGGCTCCCAAGATTTCACCCATAGCTGAGGAACTATTGACAGTTGGTGGCTGCTGAGGGAGTGAGAGTCACTTTTCTTTGGAGATGTGACTTCTGGCAGATTGCCCATACCTTACGGGATTACTTTACATGATCAGTACGAATTGGTCTCAGGGTGATTAATAAAATAATAATACAATAATAATAACAACAACAACAACAACAATAATAATAATTAATGATGACATCAAGTTGGGAGGCTGATTGATTGAGAGTGGTGTCCCAGGAGGAGTCAGAGGGAGATAATGGAGTGTAGATATGATTAAAATACACTGTTTAAAATTATTTGTATAATTGCATGTATAAAATTGCATTATGAAATTCAAAGTATAATTCACTAGACAAAAGGAAATAAAACAATGTTAGTTTACTTTTTTTTTAAAAAGTCCAACATTATTGCGTGGTTATTTGTAATTTAATGTATTTCCCCCCTTAAAGTTGAAACACATGCTGATATTTTCGGTGGTTCCTGGACCACCATGTTCATTGTAAAAAGAGGTTTTGTAAGCAACTGTATTTTACGGTCCTTTTGTGGAAGGGGTTTTACACATCGTGTTCTTCTGGTCAAAGCTATCTGAAAACAACCAACAGGAACACTTGTCAGGTCTAGTCTGTTGAAGGTAGCACAGAGATGCAATAGGCATGAAGGTAGCACAGAGATGCAATAGGCATTTGGGAAACAGTTTGGTAGTTTCTTTTAAAAATGATAAATATCCATGACGAGAGGAACAAGAAATGTGCCCGTAATAAGACTTGTGGGTAAGTGTTCATAGTAGCTTTATGTGAAAGGGCTTAGTTCTAGGAATAATGTGATTCCCTTAATAGGTAAGTGTTCCAACAAATTACACAGGCATCCAATTGATTTTTTTTCCTATAAGCAACTTATATTCTGCAACACTGATAAATTAGCTTACAAAATTATTCTGTATTTCTTTGAGTGTTGTAGGATGTTTAAGTATGTTTCTGATGTCTGCAGATGAAGCGTATATTCTGACTTTGTCATCGTGAAGGTCTTTATGTCTTTTTCTCTTGACTTTCTACACGACACAACATACAGTGTTGTACACATATACACTGTTACTGGCTGTTTTTCTTGACTTACTACATACTCTATAACATACAGTCTTGTACGCATACCCACTGTTCCTGGCTGTTTGAACTTGCTTTCTGTTGCTGTGATAATTATCATGACCAAAAGCAATTTATGTAAAAAAGGGGGGGTTATATCATCTCACAGGTCATCCTAGAGAGAAGCCAAAACCAGAATTCAAAGTGGAGACATTGAGGCAGGAACCATGGAGGAACACTGCTTACTGGTTTGCTCCCTCTGGCTTGCTCAGCCAGCTTTCTTATACAGCCCAGGTCAAATTGCCTAGGGATGGCAGCACCCACAGCAGGCTCTTACATCAATTAGCAATCAAGAAAAGGCACCAGGGACGTGGCCATGGGCTAATCTGATGGACTTCTTTGTCTGAGGTTTCATCTTCCTGGTTACTCCAGGCTCTGTCAAATTGACAATAAAATCTAACCAAGACATAGATCTCAGAGGAAATCATTCAGTCTCATGCTGCTAAGTAGGAAAATAGATTTGCCTTTTGCATATAGCCTTACAAAGCTGAGGAAATCCCCTTTTCAGATTTTTGTCCAAATAATTTGAAATACATCTCTCTAAAATTACGTTTATATGTTACATTGCACTATTTTTAATCTGTTTCATTGTGAGGGTAAATTCTATTCATTACAAATAATCTTCTGCACAATTCTATCAGTTTCTGCATACGTACATGTATGGTGGCTATTCAGGTATGAATGTGTGTGTATCAGGGGGAGGGGCGTGTTTGGCATTGTACAAATACGGAGGTTAGAAGAAAACTTTAGGTGTCTGTCCTCATCTTCTTTGAGACAGAGTCTCTTTTTGTTGTTTGTAATTGCATATGTCAGGCTGGCCATCCTGGGCGTGTCTGGGGATTCTATTGCCTCTACTCCTATCTTGTTGTGGATCACTAAAATTCCAGATGTCTGCTAGTGTGTGCAGCATTGATGTGGATTCTGGGGATCTGAACTCAAGTCCTTTTGCTTGCACAGACAGTGAGCCATAACCCTGGCCCTTGCTTCTTATAGTTTGAAGTTTAGGTTTGTTAAGTCTTAAAAAATAGCGGCCTTTATCATCATGAATACTTGAGTATTCGTGTATGACAATAGTACTATTTCTGTACTTTCTTTGTCTGAGATGACATTAACCACTTCACCTTTCTTTGGATTCATGTTATGTTTCTCATACTTCAAATACTGCCCCCCCCATAGCTTCTTTGTAGATAGCCAGTCATGCAGAGGCCATGCTGATTCCTCACTGGCTTTTTTTTATTTTTTAAAGTTTTTATTTAGTCTTTGGAAATTTAATACTTTTATTAATAATGGAAACTTTTCAGAGTCTTTGACTTACCATGTGATTTGAAGGCCTCTTCTGCAATGCTATTGAAAAACTTCCTGATAGGCTAAACTGGAAGCAAACACCACATTTGTTAATACCCGGTCACTATGTAAAAATATAAGCTTCAAGATAATTCTAGAATTCTGCAACATGAGGGATACCAGCTTGGTTCCTTAGTGGGGACTACTAAGAAAACAACTCAAGAAATAATTCAAGATTTGTATTTATGGAGACGAAAGCTTTGAAGTTCCTATTCACTAATATTATGGTTGTGATAGAAATGGGATTCAGGGGCATCTTGAAATGGCTACAGCATTTATTTCACTTGTATAGTTAGTTTGACTCAAACAGATTTTTGTCTTCCATATTTGTAACTTGTGTTTATTTATTTCTATTATTTTTAGTCTTTTAAAAAATTATTCATTTTACCTACCAACCACAGTTCCCCGTCCCTCCCCTCCTCTTGCTCCCCATTCCAACTCACATCCATCCACTCCTCAGAAAGAGTAAGGTCTCCCATGGAGAGTCAACAAAGCCTGGTATATCAAGTTGAGGCAGGACCAAGCCCCTCCACCCTGCATCAAGGCTGAGCAAGGTATCCCATCAGAGGGAATGGGCTCCAAAAAGCCAGCTCATTTACCAGGGGCCCTTCAAACAGATCAAGCTCCACAGTTGTTGGCCACATGCAGAGGGCCCAGTTCAGTCCAATGCAGATTCCCCAGCATTTGGTCTAGAGTCTGTGAGTTTTCATGAGCTCAGATCAGCTGTCACTGTGGATTTGTGTTTCTTATCATGGCTTTAAATGTATCAAATATCCCTCTTACTATGCAAACTCTTATTAAGTAATATCACAGCTAAGAAACTAGTTTTTTCATAATGTATCACATGTTTCTTTAACAATGTAGAATATGATTATGAAAAAGTATTGTAGGTAATAAACTAAAGATTTAAAAAAACATATTTCTATTGCCCTTTTTCAGGTAGTCATAGGCAGATGTGGGGATCATTTCCTAGGGAAACATTGCTTGGATCAGAATCCATGACATCTAAGGAATGCATTAGTAGTTACTATAGAGATGATGTTACTCACAAGCAAAGAGGCCCAAAGTGAGTATCCTGAATTTTTAACGACAGGAATATATCCACTTCCAAATCCAAATACAATATTTTGAGAAATGTACAGGTATGTCCAGAAGTATCCTAGGCTCAGCACAATCAGGCTATTCATTAATTGTACAGTCTGAAAGGAAAAGACACCATTCTTAGAGTTCCAGCTATCTCTTAGAAAGGAACTTTCCTCAAGACCAATGCCAGAATGAAGCAGGAAGGTGGTGTTCTACCACGACAGAGACAGCTTTCAGAACTTACGAAGAGGACACACATTGTGATACGATGTTCTGTGTATAGTTCTAGGCCATGTTGTCATGTTTTATCAACAGTAATCAAGTCACAGACCTATTCTGTCAGCACAGAGACATCTCAAGTTCTACCCTTCCTGTAACTTTCCCACTGATGCTTGTTATTCCTGGTGATCACTCATCTGGATCTCATAGCTTTTTAAAATATTCATCTAATTTTGCAAAAAGTTGGGAGTCTATTAAGGCTCCTTGTTCCTATTTTCACTTGATCTCTCTTCATTATTCATCTGATAAACTGTCCATTGAGTTCTTTTATGAAAAAGAAAACAACTGATGAACCATGAATTCACACCGGCAATGACTTCGTTTGCTGAGGAAGCAGGGTTTGTAGTTTGAGGCCCCTATGCTGCATAGATACCTTCCCAAAACACAAATAAACAATTCCTATTCCCCAATTCAGTTGGCTATCTCTGTGGAGTCTAGTTTTGGATTTTGTGTTCTGTTATGTTTGTCTGTATTTTTCTTCTTTAAAAACATATTCTTGCTGGGCGGTGGTGGCGCACGCCTTTAATCCCAGCACTCGGGAGGCAGAGGCAGGTGGATCTCTGTGAGTTCGAGACGAGCCTGGTCTACAAGAGCTAGTTCCAGGACAGGCTCCTAAGCCACAGAGAAACCCTGTCTCGGAAAAAAAAAAAACATAATCTTGATGACTATAGGCAGACATTATCTTAAAAATCAACTAGTGTTGATTTTTCTTACTTTCATTTAGTTGTTTTTGTTTCTTCTCCTTCCACATAATCTTCGAGTACCAATAGGACTTGCTAGGATTTTATTAGGAATTTTGCCAAACCCATACACCAGTTTAGGAAGAACTAACAGTTTTACTATGTTGAGCTTTGTCTTTTTATTGATGTAACCTAATTTGAACATTTCATTAGCATTTAGTCATTTTAAAATTTTAAGTTCTATATATGGTTTCTTTAATATTTGTATTTTTTCTTTGGGGATTGATATCTTCATGTTCATTATTATTGTATAGAAACACAATTCATCGTGTACCTTGTACCTTTGTTTAATTTATTTCTAGATCCCCTGTGCCTACATGTGTGTGTGTTTTGGTATTTTGGACTTTTCTCATCTAATTTTTAATGTTTTGTGTATAACTCTCAATCTGGCTCTGTTATTCAGTAGTATGAGTGGATGATGCCAAATTGCTCAGCCAAATTACGTAGTGGATGGGACTGCCTGGGCGAAGGGTGTCTGTGAGATGGTGTGGACAGCACAGCACCTTTGTAACCAACCACTGTTCATAGAGCTGTGTTGTCTGCAGCTTCTTCTGGGTGTACTGACAATTTGCTCATCTCATCTAGGACATGCCATCAGTTTACAATTGTAGTAGTTGATAGATGGTTAAAAAGAAGAATATTTTTTCCCCATGTCCAGATTCAGTCTATGTTTTGGTGTTATGTCACCTTCAGAAACCATTGTAACTGATTTGCCTCCATTTGAAGAGTTCGTGGTGTATACAGAGGTGGTTCAGGTCTCCTGTGTTAAGGAGGGCAACCTGCTCACAGTTGACATGCTCACTAGAGCAGCATTTTGTTCTTACCCCCAACAATGTCAGTTCCTGCTTTATCCATAGAGGATTCTGTAGCATATTCATGAAGAGGGATCTGAGGATTTCTCCTGTGAAAAATGTGGACAAAAATCAATATAAATTAAATCAGTTAGTGACTCTTATTTTTCTCTTGGGTAAGGTTCCTAAGCCTGAGGGGGAAATTAATTCCACAGTTGCCATTCACTTTTTAAAAGATACTTGATTGTTCCCTGACAGACGCTTTTGCCCCAGACTAGTAGGATCTTGACAAAACTAAATATTCCGCTCTCAAGAAGTTAGACTATGGATGAGTACCAAATGATAGCCATTCCAATCCCATCAGTCCCCCCCAGCACCCACTCATATGCCCTTGTTGCAGCATCAGAAAGTCCAGGCTCCTGTTAGCTTTGATTTATCCCATTTGCTCTTCCTGGAAGTTCAAGTGTGTCTCAGGGGTGCCAGACTGGAAGGATTTGGGTCACACACTTACACTAGCTGCAGAGAAGGCTGGAAAATAGAATACTATAGAGAGTACGTAGGTTTCTTAAGATAGTGAACACAACAATGGAGGGGGTTTCGGTAGGCAAGATAAGGGTAACTCATCATTTCCAACACTGATAGAGAGGGCAAAGGTTCCTATTTTGTAGGAGTCACAACCCTGCTCAGCTTCTGTATTTAATACCCATGAAAAGTATTCTTTTGATTCTAGCTGGTCTGAACAAAGGTGCATATCCAAGCCACTTAGTGGGGGCACAGGGTAAACTTTCCCTGATGATCTGGCAGAGTTTGACTGAGAAGATATTGAAAGCTAGAAGCCATGGTATTATTATATTAGGTTTTACCCGTTGGAAGTCTGAATGCCTATACATTGTATAGAGACTCATATGTTGCTCAAACCAATAAGCGATAATTTTTGGTTTTTTTTTCCAGCCAAAAGATTGATACATTTTTGGTGTGGCTTTCTAGTTAGACGTGGCTTTGACAATTTTCTTCCCCACCCTTACTCCCTACCCCTTTCCCGTCTCTAATGTCTGACCAATCTTTCTTCCTTTTTTTTTTTCAACTGCTGTGCACAGTCGTATCTAGAATTCAGCATTGCTTTCAGATCTTGCATTTGCACGTTTTCTTCTCCTCATATAAGCCACAAAATCTGGAGGTTTCATTTGCCGTAGTAACGGCCCATTGGCCTTCGTCAATAAGGAAGTACACAAAGGCATATCAAAAAGCATTTTAGAAGATGCTTGAGTTAAAAATTTACCCGTTACGAGGTGATGACTTGAAAAAAATATAATAAACTCCGTCAAAGGCTCTCTCTGCAGCAAGAGTACCCTGTATGGTATACTGCTGAGAAATGGAAGTTAGTACGGGACTGAAACTCACCGGAAAGTCGAGTTCAGAGCCAGTCATTAACTTGCTCTGTTGTTGGGCCATGGATTCCCTACTCCGTATGATCACAACACTAGAAGAAGGCAATCCTTCCGGGGTTTCCTTTAGGTCTAGATCTTCCTGTTCTGGGATTTCTGCGGGCAGCACCTGCCTCTGGGGTGCTGCCACCTCCATGTGTCCCTCATTACCTCTTGTGGATCCAACGTTGCAGCGGTTGTGTCCCAGAGCAACCGTGAAGGGCGCCACGCGAGGAGGGCCATGCAGACGCTAGTTCTGCAGGCCCGCGGAGGTTCCACCCAGCCTTCAGGCCCGGAGGTACAGATGGGGTTAGGGAATGGGGCCAGCAGGAGAGATTCTGGTGCAGACACCCTTTACTGACCTGTGGTGAACACACTCTAGCCATTGAACTGATGAATGTCTGAGCCCAACTGCAGGTTGGTTCCCTGCTCCAAAGACGTTCCCACCAAGCAAATGACTCCCACTGTTTTCTAGTAGGTTGACAGAAGCAAGTCCTTCTATTTTGAGTGTCCTCAAAGTCTAGATTCTTGACTCTAGAAGGAAGAGTGCTGTTGGAACCACAGATCTGGTGGTGCTTGGGCCAATATATCTTCTCTGGTCCTTTGTCTTTCTGCAAAGTCGAGGTCACAATTGTTCTGTGTACTTCCCAGGTTCAGAAACTAGATTGCACCAATCTGTCACCTGCCCAGGGACAAGTAACTCTAACTAAACTCAATGAATAACACCCAAAAAGAAGAGCATGTTGAGTTGAGATCCAGAGGAAGATAAGAGGGATGGTGTGCGTGTGTGTATGAAAAATGACTAAAATCCATCATATAAACATATACAACTATCAACCAAACAAAATAAACCAACTATGAAAAAAGGCAACTGTTGTAATTGAGTCCTAAATAATACATTTTAGAGAATCCTAACTTGATAGTCATGTTTATGATGCCAAGAAACATTTATGCTATGGGTTCCCAATCACTGAACATTTAGTGTAATGGTGCTATAACTGGCACTCAGTAGAAGTGAATAAACAAAGGAAGGTCATTCGTTCCGCTCACTTGGTTCATGTTGAGTCTCAAAAGCAAAGGTGCTTTGCCTGCCTGCTAATTAAAGGACTATTTTGCACAGACAGTTTGTTGAGGCTTCCAGTATCAGGTATTTTGTATATTATGTAATTCGTGAAACAAAGTCCCGTTGAGAGTAAATATGAATGACACTATTTATGCATTGGGAGTAAGAAGTGGAGACAATATAGAATATCCCTTCCCTCTGGAGTTCACCTTGTGGGGCGGTTGGGATGAGAGATGATCCTGCCTCCTGAGTGCTGGGATTAATCCTACTGAGAGATGATCCATTTTAATGTTAGGGGGCCAGACAAATAGAACCCAGTTTCGGAGTTAAGGAGTTGACAGGAAGAGGTCCCTGCAGATGCTTGATTGAATCTTAGGAAAAGTATGAAATGACGCCTTAATCTTCTGAGGGTTGTACATTGGGTTGCTAGATTTTGCAATATGGAGTTGACTGCTGTCATTGCAAAATCTGGCCTCAGAGGACAGATGGGGGCAGACTTGACCTGGAGTGGAGTCAAGGAAAAACAAGTGGTGATAATTGTGAGATAATGCATACAGACCTCTGGACCTCTGCTTTTAAGGACAGAAAGGCAATAGTGTTTTGAGTAGAAACTAACAATGAGTAGGTGCTGGTGGGGACTGCCTGTGAAGCCTGTTGAGATAACAATGGGACAGCAAGACTTCCGACTGTGACCTCTGGAATATACCCTTTGTCAGCACAGACCCTTGTAAGGTCTCACCTTTCTCATGGGACACTTCGTCCTCTTGGTCCATCACTGAGTTTGCCTGGGGAAGTCCTGTGCTAAAAACCTGCTAATTTTGTGGAACCAGGAGCTCTTGGCTATGAGAATGGAGGGTGCAGGTTCTGTGAATTCTATGGCAGCTTTGGACCCACACAGTTTCACAAACTAATAGCTATATGTAGGTTATGAATCTTTTGTCATGAGGTTGTCTTGCATTCATGTGTTTTAAGTACATAATGCACACATAATTCCGAAGACTCCATATGATTAAAGGACTACAAAGTATGTCATTGATGATTTTTAGATATATTTGATTTATTAAGTTAGACCTACTGCGTTATCAAAATTAAACACATCTTTCTATTTACTCTTTGTGTGACAACTAGGATTATTTAAAAATATACATGTACCAATAGATAAGGGACAAGGCTGCTCTCTATCTTCCATGGTCTTGAAAACCACTTCTTTCTTTCAGGTTTTCCAACCTTTCTAGTGTTCTTTTTCCCCTCAATTTCTTTACTGTATTTTTTAATTCTTCCTTTTATAATATAATTACATCATTTCCCTTTATATTTATTGTCTCAAAACCTTCCTTGTTGTATTTCAAATTCAAGGCCTCTTGAATTAATTTACATTAATTGTTGTTACACTCATATATATATATATATATATATACATACACACATGTTCCTACCTGTGTGTGTGTGTGTGTGTGTGTGTGTGTTCCTAAATATGACCTGCTCAGTGTATGCACTGTCACTTGTATATATGCCTTCAGGGCTGACCATTTGGTATTAGACAGCAAATTTTTGTGCTCTTCCCTAGGGAAGGGCATTTTCTCCACTCTTGGCATTTCTTAGCTGCTTGTAGTTCTTTGTGTAGGGTTGACGCCTCCTGGACTTTCCCTTGACAACACAGGATCAGGAGGATTGCTGCAAAGCAGTGGCTTTTACACATGACAGCTGTGTTGCACCCAGAACCTGCAGAAGACTCACAATCCCAAGCCTGTTTCAGAATGAATGGCTGAAAGGGTCCCAGGCTCTGCTCCTACCTGAGGAGATACAGGTAGCCAACATCTGTTTGGGGAGAGAGAGAGTCTATTTGAGGGATGGGGACACTGGTAGGCTGCTCATGCTCCAGTGGTCAGCTCTACACTCAGGAACATCTGGGTGACACTAACTGAACTCAGTAGCTTATACATTTTTAAAAACAAAGGATATGAATTTGAGAGAAGGATGTAAGGGAGACAATCCTGGAAGAGTTGGAGTCAGAAAAGATCAAGGGGTAACATGATCAAACTGTATTCTAGTCATGTATGACCTTCTCAGGCCCTATTCGCTATTCGTCCTCCTCTTCTTTCTCCTTCTCTTCCTCCTTTCTTTCTTTCTTTCTTTCTTTCTTTCTTTCTTTCTTTCTCCTCTTCTTCCCTCTTCTTTCCTCTTTACCTTTTTCCTCCTCTTGCTTCTTCTTTTCTATCTTCTTCTTCTTCCTCTTCCCACTTCCCCCCTTTCTCTCCTCTCTTCTTCTTCCTCGTCTTCTGTAGAAAAATAGCCACCCTAATTCTTTCATTTGAAATGTTCGCCTTCACCTTTCAAGCCCCCCCCCCCAATATTAATCTCCTGTTTGGAGTTTTCACAAAATATCAACATCTTTACACCAGAAAGAGCGCTCTCTACTCTGTCATACTATCATTTTTCATATTCTTAATATGAGAATCCCTCACGGTTGTGATTTCTCAGCTGCTTGTTCCTCTCCTAAAATAAGAACGGCCACACGATGTCTCACCAATCTCTGACTCCACAGGGCTTAATACTTTTATTGCACACAGAAGACATTCAGAAATGAACTACGCACTGAA